CACATCCGCCAATTTCTCACGGTCAACTGTCCAGAAATGGAACTGTTTGAGTGGAAAGATCATATCTTGGCATGATAATTAACTACTGGTGAAGTTGGAAAGCTTGAATGAATTGGCTTTCTGGTCAGTGGTCCGCAATAAGAATGAGAGCTGTCCAGTGTTTACAATAGAGTAACATATGTCCTGGGTTAGGAGAAAGAGAACTATTAGGTAGCGATAACACCCATGAAAGTTTTTCGAAGGGATTTGACAACCAATTTGATAATAATTGATAAAACAATTAATAATGAAATTGCAGAAACTTCAGATTTTCGAGGATACTAACTTAGAAATTATATTCCATAAGAATCAATGAAAGGAAACGCATAAGGGATGATAAGCAATACATAAGGCGATGATAAGCAGCACTGATAACGTGCAGTAAATAACGAACTGTTTGTGCTTGTCATCTTAATTAAATCAAGATAGACCACTGAGCTTCAGTCAAGTTAGACTAGGCCAGAGAATACTTACTCATACCAGGGTAAAACCATGACAACAAACCATATGGATGGTGCCGACAGTATAATAAGCGCTCGATCAGGTTTGTGCACATTGAAAAATTCTGCCTTTATACGCCGAGTAATCAGTAGAAGTAAAGCACTGATAATGTATGCCGTGCAGTGGTACCACGGATGGTGGCTAGTATAAAACATCGCCAGATAAGAGGAAAGTAGTGGATGCGGTGCCGTTTGTCAGTAACTGGATCGTTATCAGCACATTTTTATATCCCAGCTATGCGGTAATGAATCCTTCTTCCATATTCCTGCCGTATTGCTATTGCTGCTGCGTTTTGTTGTCAACGAGAGAAGTGGGCGGATAATGGATAGATGGCAAGGCGGAAGGTTCGAAATTCGGAAAAGTAGAGTTCACGCATAAATTCGTCGTCCATCGTCATTGTCGCTCTTGTTTCGTTGATTTTCGTGGATAATTAGGTTGTAATCTCGGCTTCTTGGTTGCGCTTGAATGCACCAATTCATCGTGCTCCGAAAAACCAGAATTTAATACCCTCTGGGAAGCAGAAGCGGTTTTGCACACAGACACGCAATAGACATACGCTACTACCGCTATCAGTACTGCTACTATATCACTACTACCACTATCATTACTATCACTACCACGCTACTATCACTACTATCACTACTACGCTACTATCACTACTATCACTATCACCTACTACTGCTACTACTACTATCACTACTACTATTACTACTACCTACTACTACTACTACTTCCACTACTACTACTACCACTACTACTAACTACTACTACTACTACCACTACTAACTATTACTACTGACTACTACTACTAACCACTACTACTACTACTACTATTACTGCTACTACTACCACTATTACTACTAACCACTACTACTACTACTACTACTGCTGCTGCTGCTAAACACTACAAACAAATAACAAGCAACAAACAACAACGGCAACAACAACAACAACAACAACAACAACAACAACAACAACAACAAC